ATGCGTTGTTGCGCAGTGTCATAACTGCCAACACTATGGCCACACAGCCCGCAACTGTTTTGCCCACCCTAGGTGCGACAAATGCACCGGTGACCACGGCACGACAGATTGCACGCGTCCTAAAGATTGCGCAGATCCACCGGACTGCGTAAATTGTTTGACTACCGGCCACCCGGCTAGCTACAGGGGCTGCGCTAAAGCTCCAAAAACTCCCGCGAGGAAAGCACCCGCAAAAATTACGCTCGCGAAAATCGCGGCCCCGAAATCCGCGCCGGCGAAGTACATTCCCGCGCCCGCACCCGTCGTAAACGCCTGAGTGAAACCTCAGGCAGTCGCGCAGGCGCCCCCGGTCGCTTCACGACCGACGACATTCCAACCGCAGCCTGTCAAACAACAGGCACCGAAGCCGCAGGTGCACTTTATTACACCGGTAGTTTCCGCGAACCAAGACGACCCTTTTTCCCAAATGGCAAACATCTGCAGCTTCCTGGAACGCATAAACCGGGAAGAGCTCGCCGTCCTATCTACAAAGTTATCGGCCGCCACATGTGGCACCGAACGACTTAATGCGCTCAACGAGCACAAAAAACTTGTAGACGCCCTTTGGGTGTTTACAAATCAACCATAAAGGTTTATAGTCCGGGCAATAAAACCGCGCTTTGCCGCGTCGTTACCCAGAACCGTTACTAAAACTAAAATGGAAAGTACAACCGCAGGTAGATTAAAACCTCGGGCTCTGGTTGTTTCGTATTTTAACGCAAACGGCATTAGGGGCCAAAGGGACGAAATCACAGAATTCCTTCGCGATTATAACGTCGACATATTTCTAGTGCAAGAGACCTTCTTGAAACCTAGCAGACGCGATCCAAAAATCGCAAATTATAATATAGTCCGCCACGACCGGTTAGCAAACCGTCTGGGAGGTACCTTAATATATTATAAACGGTCCTTGCACTGTAGCCCGCTCGATATCCCAGAGGTTAGCGCGTGTAGGTTAGCGCTCACCGGCCACAGGCCGCTTGTACTAGTTTCAGCCTACCTCTCGGGGAATAAAACTCATCTACAAAGCGATTTAGAAACGCTACTTAACTTAGGCCCTTCCGTGATAATTGCAGGAGATCTAAACTACAAACATGGCACATGGGACCCCCAAACTTACGCTAACAACAACGGTAGGCAGCTCTTTAACTTATCTGACGATTTAAATTACAGCATAATCGCTCCTGTGACTCCCACAAGATATCCTACGGTGGACGATTACCAGCATTCGACACCGAGTATTCTTGATATCATATTGTTCAAGGAGGTCTCCCTCGACATCGCGTCGATAGAGACAATCCAAGAATTAGAATCAGACCACAGGCCGGTCCTGTGTAAACTGGGCCAGAACGCCGGCGCGGTCCCTCCGACCAAAACCGTAGTGGACTGGCATCGCCTTGAGGTCAAACTCAAGGCCTTAGACCCCCAGCACATCGTCAACCTATCCGAGACGATAGCTACGTTCGATGACGCAAATCGAGCGATAGCAAGTCTTCGCGCATCTATCACTTCCGCAGTTGCAGATTCGGAACGAACAGTGAAACTGTCGGGCGACGGTTTAACTTTCCACCCGACCTAAAACTGCTAATTAGACAAAAAAATGCAGCCAAACGAGCTTTCGACCGATACCGATCAGAATCGAACCGAACCCTACTTCGACGCCTTCAGCTAGAAGTTAAAGATCGCGTATCGGAACACCGACATACCGAGTGGGACACTCTACTAGAGGATATCGAGCCATCGCACACCACCTACTGGCGGTTGGCCCGCAGTCTGAAAGCAGAGCCCCGCGAATCCCTACCGCCGTTAGCAATGCCTAATAGCTCATCATTAGCCCTAGATGACTCCGAAAAAGCCGAATGCCTTGCGGACAACCTAGAGCAGCAATGTACGCCATCGCGCGAACACATCGACACAGCCCACCTAACGGAGGTGGACCTCACAACACTCTCACACACACACACATATTAATAACGTCCGTAACAGAGCCGCGTTCGTCTCCGGCCGGCTAAGCACTTTAACTAACCAGTCAAGTAAAATGTCCTTAAGACACAAATTACTTTTATACAAAGCTTGCGTACGGCCAATCATGTCCTACGCATGCATGATTTTCGCCCACACGCACCCCTACTCGCTTGCACAAGTTGCAAGTAGTGCAAAATAAGTTCATCCGCCGCGCAACCGGTGCGCAGTGGTATCAACGCAACGTCGACCTGCACAGTGATTGCAGACTCCCGATGATTCGCGAATTTTTCAAAGACCTGACCAAACGGTTCTTCGATAGAGCCGAACATCATCCCAACCCTCTGGTGGTAAGCACAGCAAATTACCAACCCGATCCAAACGCGAGCGTCAACAAGCGTCGCCCGCGAAACGTCCTCATCGACCCGGTCGAAGAAGGGGACTTAGGTACGTCGGACCCACCGTCGGGGGTCCCACCGGATAACACTACACACACAGTTAGTGTAGCAACAAACACATTAGTTCGCCCTCGCCTCCGAGCACGGCGAGACCAACACAACGCGTACACAAGGTACACCCGCGTTCCAGGGCGGTTCTCACCGCACCCAGCAACCGATTAGCTAAAAACACAGTCGACGGCCATCGGGGTCTCGGTCCGCAACGCTACTTCGATGGCATTTAGATGACATGCCGTAGTTAAACGCACGCATGAGCACATGCGCGGCCCTACCCACAGCGGAGGACCCAAACCCGTGGGTTCTGGCTAGCCCACCGGTTCTGCGTCAGATGAAGCTTTAATAGTCTCTGGACTGAAAGCACAAACATCAGTTAATACAAGATACAAGAAGTCGTCAGCAAATAGAAGAACCTTACAACTCTTTACGGTAGAAGTAATATCCTTAATAAAAATTGAAAATAGAATGGGTCCTAGGTGGGATCCTTGTGGGACTCCGGAAATTGCATAGTACGGTTTCGAATTTTAACCACTAACTGATAAGTTTTGGAGTCTTTTTGATAAGTATGACTGAAACCAATCTAGTAGTATCCCATTATTCCACATTGTTTAAGCTTATGTAGAAGAATTGATTTACTTTATCAAATGCACTAGTGAAATCTGTGTAGATGGCATCAACCTCATTTCCATTATCAAGTTCTTTGGTTAGGTCAGAAACAAAGGTAACCAAATTAGTGGCAGTTGAATGGCCCGATCAAAAACCGTGTTGAGCAGAAGATAGAAAAGTATCTATATACCTCGTCAAAACAGGACACACTACTGCTTCAAAGAGTTTTAAGAAACATGACAGTATTGCATTTGGAAGGTAGTTTTTAGTACAAATTTGATCTCCTTTTTTATGTATTGGAACTATTTTGGCTTTTTTCCACTCATCCGAGAAGCAACCTTGTTTTAGAGAGTAGTTAAATATTAAAGACAGTGGAAAAGATAAAGTTTTGCTGTAACGTTTAAAAAAAACCTCCGGTTTTTGGTTTTTGATTAAATGGTCTGGACCAGCGCCCTTAAATATATCGAGACGTTTAATTGCATTAAGTACTTCGCTTTCAGTTATATTAATAGTTCCTAAACATCTATCTTGACAGCTTTTGTAAGTTACATGTGGGTTGGGGAAAATGATTGAACTGTTTGAGGTGTAGGTAGATGAAAATTGTTGAGCAAAGAGATTAGCTATTTCAGGGCCCGTATTAGCATCGGCATCGTTGTCATCATGCATGATAGTGGGAATTGATGTAACAGTGCTTTTTTTTTGTGTTTTATATAGCGCCGAAATGATTTAGGATTAGTTTTTATATTATCTTCCATGTTTTGTATGTAACGAGAGTAACATAAGCGATAAAGCTTGTGACAGTGAAACCGGAGAGTTTCATATTATATTAAGTCCAACGGATTTTTGTAAGTACGGTACTTACGTCTAAATTTTTCTTTTTCAGCAAGTCTTTTTATTAAGGAATAACTGAACCATGGTGAATATTTGCATTTAGCAGGGATACGATTTGGAACATGTTTATGAATCACTTCCCAATTGCGTTGATAAAGGGGGACCTTTAATAATAGTTTTTCTCAAATGCCTTCCATGTACAAACAGAAGTAAGTTACATTTTTATTATATGTATAGATATCTGTCTGTATCTGTCCGAATTTTTCGCTTTCACCCTATTCCACGTAGTGGCGGGCAACAGCTAGTGTGTAATAATCCCACAGTCGATATTAAGTCGCGATTCATTTAAACGCAAAATTAAAAATAAACTTATGGTTAAAATATATTATACCATTGCCTATATCTCGACGACGCCAATGTTCGGAGTTAATATTATTGTTATAGACTATACCTATGTTATATTGTTAACAGCTAATCTTTTTATTTTTTTATTAAAAGAGAGTAACAGTTGAGTTTCATAAGAACGCGCAAACTATCTGAATAAAGATGTTTTGATTTGGATTTTAACAAGTCTCTACAACATTATTAACTGTAATTAGATTATGTAAGTATGTAACAGTAATCGTAATTATGAAAGAATAGAATATCTTTATAGTATATTCTAATCTACCTAGCATTCCACCAATTGCCAGGGTCTGCTAGAATATCTTTATAGTATATCGAATAAAAATATTTATTGATAAGCGGAATTTCTAAAAGTGGAATTTAAATAAAAATAAATCATTGTAGGTACTTAAGTGTTTTATCGAAAATTAGTAATCCAAAAAGCGACTCTAACAAGTGTTAAGTAATTATTATATAGTTCAACGATCTTATGTTTGTGTAGCAATAAATTTATACAAATGCTGTTAGGAGAATTTATGGAGTCATTCGTAAAACAGTCCATATACCTATTATATGTTATGAAAACGCCTGCGTCAAGGAAAGCTTTTCTGAACAATAATTGCGTCAAAGTAAAGGAATGTTTTACACTCGTTTAATTTGAAAAAGAAATGCGACGGGGGTGCGAGGTCAGCTGAGTGGTCTCCCTCCTCCCATAATAGGCAAATGCGATACGATAAAATCACGTACAGCGCCCCGTCCATGCCCAGTCGAGCGAACGAGTTGAGGTCGGTTGGTCAGGGAATTCGCCTCGGTGCTGAAGTTACTAAATTAATTCGCGCTCTGAAACATAAAAACCAATGTTTTTTTTATTAATTTAATATCTAACCCATCATGGGCTGTACAAGCAGCGCACCAACGGTGTCCGAAGTTCATACGAAATCTACAGGTGACTTCACGAAACGAACACTGCTGTACCACGATATGGCAATATAATTTTGAATCTTTAATTAAATTATTTTATTTTTATCACTAATTGCACGTTTTCATGTATACATAACAATCTCCTTAATGACGATCACTTCATATTATGCTCTTTGTTGTTTCATTACCTTTATGAAAACATTACGAGTGACCTATGGGTAGGCGTGTTAAGTGAACTCGAGGTCAATGTTAAGGGTAAGATGATGCTTAACTTTATTCAATGTTCTTCACGCATATTAAATAATTAAGGCTTATAACTGCTAATTTTAAACGTGACTTGAAACTACAATTTTGTAATGATAAAATATTTTGTTTTCAACGTTCTGTCAGATAAAACTATTATACTTTTCAGAAGATGAAAACAAAGAAATAAAATATAAGGAAGAAGAAGCATTGGTGGATAAAAATGACGGTGTTTTAAAAAATAAATTGGAGTTTTCAAGATGTAATACTGGGAATAGCATACAACTAAATGAAAATAACGCTTTTGTTAATAACGATTCGTCCACACATGGAAACGACTCAGGTGAGAGGAATATTGTCTTATTTCATGAAAAAAGTATTTAAGGAAAAAGTGTAACCTTAATTAAACAAGTGTTGTAAATAGAGCCAATTTTTAAAAATATCATAATTAAATAAATCTCACCCATCAGTCCCTATTGAGATTTACAATATCGATGATCTGTAGTAATTCTGCATTCAAAACAAATTATAACATTTTTTTGATTAAGGTCAAGGTGATTATGGTCATGGTCTCTGCCTCTAACAGGCCAATATAAAGAAAACACAATTTAGTGATTTACTATAGTAGTAGTATAGTGACCTACACCTACACATTTAGTGACTCCAAAAAGCTGCTATAAATATTAAAAGGCGGTAAAATTTAGAAATCCTGGATGACTAAACATGATCAATTTTAATATAAGACTAAAAACCTTCATGTAATCGGTTCATCCCGCCGTTGGCAATAAAATAACATGAACAAAAAATATCATCATAATTTCAAAGATCGTACTTCATTCAAAAAAAAATTCTTAAGAAATTGGAATCTGGCGGAATAAATTACATTATATCTGAACAACTTAAAGGGGTGGTATGTTAGTCAGATCTTAATTTATGAACATATTCTACGTTAAAGCAATGTCGTCTTATTTATCAAGACACATATTTTTCAGAAAAGTATCCCACCGATTTATCGCCAGTTTATCTCTAATGTTTAGGCAATTTTTTTTATTTTACATTTTCAGTCATAGTTACATTACATAGTTTAGACTCTAGAGAGTTTGGTCAATGTTCTTCACATTGACCAAACTCTCTAGTGGCGGATTTACAAGTTTTTTCGCCAATAGGCTGTTCAATTTTTGCCGCCCCTACTAACCTGTAAAATTCGATACCTTGGTTTACAATCATATTAATTAAATTTATTCTGTCGATAAAATTGCAACTTCACGATTTGTGCTCTACAGCCTTTCAATATATTAGTTATTTCTTGTTATTAGCATGATTTTGAACTAGGGTTTTGTTGTGTCAGTTTCTAGATTATTTTTACAACCCACGATTTAGTGAAGGTCACGAAAAATAGTTTTTGGGTACACTTTTTTATTTGGGTTATTACTACTAAGACGGAGTAAGTTATGCCTTAGAAGTACTGTTAAAAATACTTTAAACATTTCTGTAAGACAAAAATGTTGGGCCAAATTTGCCCTAAAATCTGCCGCCTTAGGCTCTGGCCTACTTAGCCTGCTGGTAAATCCGCCACTGTGAAGATGCCCGGTTTAGTAATAACTAATTAATGTAAGAGCCGCTAAATAAACCGAGAGAGAGAGGGAGAGTCACTGTGAGATTGATTTTCCTTACGTGACGAGTTGACGTTCCATTAACAAATTTGGTTCAGAATCGTAATTGAGGTGGTATCCTAACTGAGGTATTGTTATACGTCATTATTTACAGCTTGGTGTCAACAATAAGGCAAACGCGTGGGGCGGATAGATGAATAGTTTGATTTTTTTAAGAAAAAAACACATTTCCTATTACAAAAATGACAAAAATTCAATTTTTAATCAAGTTATAACTATGTTTGTTTAAATAACCTATTGTTACGCGTAACGAATTAAACTGCAGCCAACAAAAAATAAATTATTTATTAAAGAAAAAAATTACAGACGATAAGGAATGTGAACCGCGCAACAACCGTCAAAGTAACAATAATTTGCAAGACCATGAAAAAATATCTACTTTGAAAGAAGTGATCGAACATGTTATATCTAATAAAGCCATACAAAAACAACCGAGTGTCGGTGAAATTTCGTCCAAATCGAAGCATAGTGAAATCGAAAGTACGACGGAAAACCATGAAGAGGAAAAAAAAGAAAACATAAAATCAATAGAGGATAAAGAAGAAATACAGTAAGTTTCTAAAGCCCGCCTTAAATAACTTCAATTAAATAAAAGTCCTTTAAAATTCTTACGGACTTATTAATACAAATCAACTTGCTGATGAAACGAATTTATTAATAGTTTATATGCACTTATTGAAGTCTCTGCCTGCGGCCTTAAGTAAAGTTTTTTATAAGATAAATTCAATCAAAATTCTAGTCTTTTTACATTATGATTTATATTTACGTGATTATACATATTACTAAATAATACAATTTTTACGGACTTACCGCGTTAATTTTTGATTTTATTTCTTGACGGTTTGTACCCTTTTCAATGTTCATTGTCACGATCATGGGACAAGCTCTGAGTTTGACGTCTCAACGTTAGCCCGAGCTACCAGTTTTTAAATCGTTAATTTTGTGTCCGATCTACGCAAAAGGTGGTTTATTTTGTCTTGCAGCAGTGGTTCGCTTGTTTTTATGGCCTGGATTTTATTTGATTAATGATAGGATCCCAAGTTGACGGTAGCATCAAACCCTCTTCTATATTGAAATTAGGGTTTTTTTTTAATTTCAATAGCCTCGCGAATCACCTTGGGAGGAAGCGGTGTTCTTTTGCAAGGATCTATCAATCAAAATATAGTGGTTGGGGAGATTTATAGCGTGCAAAGTGCAGGCTTTTCAGCTAAATGTTCCTTCACGCGAGTTTTATTTTATCTTTTTTTTGTCCTATGGAAGAAAGCCTACATTCACAAGTCGAGAGTCAAGCTTGTACACCCTGGATCTCGCAGAGGGACATTGCACGTGACAGATGGTAAAAAATGTCTTCTTCAGTGGCTTGGACAATGTATTAACCGAAGCCTGCTATATAATGTAGCCAATATTGTTGGTGAATTCTCTAGAATATGGTAGAGTGTACCTGCTGTTCTCGCTCCACTGCGGCTGATTTCACTCGGTCACTGTGACGAAGGTCCGATGTTCGAAGCTTGTTGTCATGCAGAGCTTGCTTGACATGTTGTAGCTCCGTGGCCTGGTGCTCCTTGTCAAACATCCCTTGTATTCTCTGAAACAAAGATTTGATTGGACAGGATGGGTGGTGATGAGTCCCCATTTAGCGATCAGTTTATTTGAGTTGCCTTTCTATACACAAGACAAAAAAGTGATCTTAAATGCATTAGAATTTATACAAATTTAACGAAAACAATAAAATCATAAATTGAAAAGTTTTCGGTTAGAATATAGAAACGCTCAACCCTCCCCAGGCAGAAATCCCCCTGCTTTACCGACTGTGTACGATTTGGCTCGTACACGGTCGGTAAAGCTCGATCTAACTTCAATAAATATTATATTACTTTAATTTGACATCTATATGTATTACAGGGAAAACGAAATTCGAGAAACTGCAAGTCCTAGTCAGTCTGACTGCAGTCGAGCAACGCGTTGGGAAGCGCTAGCAGACATGGCCGCCGAGCTCCCGCCGTCTCTTACTATCGATCCTATCACCGGTCACATATATGCACTTAGTAAATAAGTTAATGCGTTTGATATGATATCTTTTATTTTTTTAATTATCGTAGAGTATGCTGTAAAGTACATAATTGCTGATTATGTAGTTTTTATTCAATTTAGTTTTACCGGTGATAATAAAATAAGTAGTAACGAAAGTCTGCCATACATAACAATACTGTACATGTTAGGTGCCTATGCATATTCACATATACCTAAGTACGCCGCACATACATGCCGAAATCGACCTATAGCAAAGTGCCCATTGATTATGAAAGTTCACATGAATAACGCGAAGCATTTGTACGTTATGTTGGCAACACTAAAGGAAGTCATTCCTTGAGGTTGTTGGCAATACTAAAAGAAGTGTCATTCTGTGGGGTATAAATGGAGCTGCAAGAAGCATTTCGTGGCCTTCATTGTGATCTTCGTCTTTCTCTGGCTGTCAACAAGAAGTATACGGGATAGTGCTGCCCAATCGGTATCAGAAATTAAATTTTAGGGTTGTGATATTAAAGTGATAAAATAAGTAATTATACCAGTGTTATTGTTGTGCAAAGTGAAACTACGGTGATTTGGTAAAAGTATTTATATTTCTACCTTCTTAGCTCGATAAAACAAAGTATAGCTAACATCAGAAGCGGGAATTAAATCTTATGTGTAGTTTGTATTCGCGCCCTACGAGTGTAAAGTAAAGTAATGAAAAAAAAAAATAGATTGACGTAATAGAATCTTATGCATTAAAGTTTTCGTGGAATCATAGTACGATACGTTACCAGACTTTGAATAAGCTTAAAGGGTCTGCTAAGGTTTGGTATGAGTGGCGATCAAATGGAAATACATGAAACTCTGTGAAACTACCTTCTTAGCTCGATAAAACAAAGTATAGTTAACAGTTATTCCCATGAAACCACGGCCCCAACCCAAAGCCATATATGTATGTACGGGGTACTTAGGTATATGTGAATATGCATAGGTAACATACGCAATATCAACAAACTGTTATTTGATGTATTAGTATTTATTTATTGTTTAGGCTTACCAACTTGATAAACAGTAGTAATAATAAGTAAATGATTTACAAATTTGTTTTAAGCTCACATTTTTTTACTCTGTTTTCAAAAAAGCTATCTACCCTCATTACTTATACTACTTCTTTCTCCTGCTCTTATCCCACCTAGTTAGGCTCGGCACAAGATGTGAATCATGCTTTTAATGGTATTGATTAGGTTTATTTTGACGACCTACCTGCCTGATATGGGAATAAAAACCCAGATCCGGAACAATTTTCTGTGGGACAAAAATATATGTCTAATGTTTACTCAAGTGTTTGCACCATCAAAATTAAGATTCTAGCAATGGCAAAGAATGTGATATAATGGGAACATGTAATAAAAATGCTAGCAAGTAATGAATGTTATGCGACCAACGAAGTGAACGCAAATATGACATAGAAGCATTATTGTCGCTCCAAAATGGCCTAACGAAAAGTGTGCCCCGCGTGGGCGGGCTTAATAAACTGTATTGCGAGCCGATTTTAGTAAAGAGATGACATTATGCCATATAAATATTTCAATGTATAAATTTGATAACTTACTTTACCTTTGATATTTTATATTTGAACGTATAAATAAGTCGTAAATACCATAGATAACTTAATGAGCGTTTCTTATTTGTTTCCTTTTCTATTTAGATTCCCACAAAACCCTAAACGAAGAGCAATAGATGAAAGCTGTTCGATTCTCTAATCTCTCTAGATTGGAAAGTGATCGGATGCCACTTCGGATCGGACTTCAAAATTATGCTCAAAAGCATACCTAGGTTGCTGTTGAGAAATTTCTAAAACCGTTCATTAAAGGGCTGTACCTGAAACATCCTCCCCGGCTCCACCAGTGGGACATCGGTGTAGGGGTTCGCTCCGGCTGACTCAATCGGACCTATCGAGACTACAGGGTGAGGTTCGGTGACCCAGTCACGGGGACGGAGAGAATTTATATTAAATAGGCGCCAGCCCGCCCCGTGCAAGACAGAATAATGCTTATTCTAAGGGATTTACTTAGTGGAAATAAAAGATACATTCCTTAACAGTTTTAGAGTTTATTGATACAAGGATTGAATATAAAACTAAACTATATCAAGTTAAAAATATAGAAGGAGTGAGATCTCACCAATCAGGCATAATTATATCAAGATTAAGATTTGGGAGTACATTAGATTAATCACCGTTACATAGCAGTATATAAACACAATCATCAGTTTAATGGCTAGTTACAGATTAGAGCAAAAACATACCAGAAGGAACCAGGCTTGCCTTCCTAGTTTCCAAATAAGTGTGAAGACCTCAGCTCAGCAATCCTCACATGCCACCAGCATTCAGCTAGTCCGCGGCTTCAAGTTGCACGTGGACAGCAGGACCTCAGATTCTTAATATATATATATATATATATATATATATATATATATATATATATATATATATATATATATACAGGGTGTTACAGAAAGGTGTTGTAACATTTAAAGGCGTGTATATATATCAGACTTTGAATCAAATGGCATAATTTTAAAATACGAATCTAAGCATTTTTTGACGATAAAAATTTAAAAAATTATTAACTGTAACAACCCTGATTATAGAAGTCACTGACCGCGCATCGGTGTTATCACTCCAAACTCACACACGCATACATCTGATCACCCGACTTATTCCCCTCTCCCTCCACTCCTCGTTACGTCATTACCCCACTTCCCGCTCCTCAAGTTTATCGGTCCCCTCCGCCCGCCCCTCGCCAACCAAACTGACAACGACCGCATCGCGCTGCAGGTCCTGGCGATGCTCTAATACAATGAAACACCGTGCTTATCATCAAAATTTATTTGAATTTATCGGATTTTGTCACAACAGAAAGACACGAAATAGCTATACTGATAGTCCATGAGCCCTACTTAATATGTTATTGATTAAAGAATAGGTATTCATTATCGGGAAATAAAACACAGACACACTACTTTTACTACGTTTATTTTTCTAAGCAAATATCCGCGTCATACCTACATAAAACATTTTTTACATGGAATTAATAACAGATTTCATGAGACAATTTCCACTGTAACTTATAATTTTTTGTTTTGAGATTTTGAATTAAACATTAAATCGCTTGCAGTGGAAGGTAAAAACATTTTAGAAGGTTACAACTCACACAAGAAACTATACCTATACATTCCAATGAGATCAGCGTTTACTAAGAAAACTCGTGCTTATCGGTGTCGGTCGGTTCCATTACGCGATACTATTCTTTCACTGTTATAGCACTTCAGCACTTGGGATAGTCATTGTCACTAACTTAAAACACACCAAGGTCAAGGGTTGCTTCGTCATTTGCGAAGCTTCGACGCGTATAGGGCGCGGACGCAGACGAGGGCCGATCCTTCCAGCTCCTTTTTAACACAACTGGCAGCTGATCTAAATTTGTTTCAGCATTCTTGCTTGCTGTTTACTTGTTTCGGCTTTTGGCAAATGCTTCTGGTGCAGTTGGTGAGCCTCCCGTAGTACGCGCATACTTCCAGAACATCTTTGCAGAAATTATTCGTACGTAGAAGCGACAGTTGCGTCAAAAGCTGGTGTAGTTGAAAAGTTCAAAGTAAATCGATGGTCGTTCTAGTCGCAACACTGAATAACATCATGTAGTATTTACTGAGCATATGACTATGTCTGAGACATCTTTTATCAATAATGAATCGATAACTATAAAAATAAAATCATGAAATCGACTTCATGCCTAAATGGCTGGAGAGTAACTGATTTGAAAATTTAAGTAACACAAAGGAAGCGACATCATATTTTATGTATTTACCTACCTAAGCGGTAGCGGCTTATGTAGTTAAATAAGCAACGTTTGTGCAAGACTATTTCGCCGCGCCGACAATAAGGTTACCATGTCTACTGAGTAAAATTTTAGGACGGCGGTATAATTGGCAATAAAGTAATAAACAACTTTTTTTTCGGTTTTCTGTTAATAGTATTCTACCATTGGCTACTAAAAAAAACTTCTTTAAAATATCACAAAATTCAAACATAACCGTTGTGATTATTAATTCGCTTTACCTAATTTAGAAACTTTTAGACTCATTTTAAAGGATTTGTTTTATTTTAAACTTTCCATTTCACTACTTCAATCGAGGACACACTACGCCGGAAAATAAAAAACCTTAATTTGACTATTTACAACTTCATGAGGCAATATGGCGGATACATAATACATAATAATGACAAAAATAAATTTCGAATTAAGTAAGTTCAATGTAATTATAAAGTATTAAACAATAAAATCTTTATTTTAAATAAAGAAACTATACCTATACATTCCAATGAGATCAGCGAAATTTCAAAGAAAAATATTAATGCTAAAATAATGCTAGCTTACAATGTATCAATTTTTCTTAGTTTCTAACTCAAAGTAAAGACTAAGGAGTCTATGAAAATTCTGGATGAACGGACCTCTGAATATCGGGATATTCCGCAAGAATCGGTACATCTGGTAACTCTAGTTGAAACGAGCGCGGTAAATACAAAGGTGGTCTTTGTTAAATGTTATACGCGCCGACAATCTACCTAGATTGATGAAAGTGACAAGGTCATTCAAAACACGTGTAATTACTTCGCAGTATCACAACTAATAAGTTTTGGAACTATGAAATTATCTTTTTTTACTTTTATTTCTGAAGGATTTGTATACACTAATTGAGAATTAATACATGAAACTAATAAATAAATTTTCTAAATATTCAATTTTAATAAGAACTAACATTTAGTTCACCTACTTGATTTACCACCTACTTTTTTACTTTACTTTCATAAAAATAACAGCTGTTATTTGTATTTAAAACCCAGTCGTCTTAATCGAATGTCGTGGTTGTAACATGTAACCGTTACTTTACGTTGTATTTTATTTTAGTATTAATTTGTTTAAAAATGTATAAGTATGCAGTTTTTATCAACACCATAGACTATTTTATACTTAT